ATAAACAAGATTACACTGTATAGCACAGGGAAATATACACAAAATGTTATGATAAATCACAGAGAAAAAAATGTGACAATGAGTGTGTATATGTCCATGAATGACTGAAAAATTGTGCTGAACACTGGAATTTGACACAACATTGTAAAATGATTATAAATCAATAAAAAATGTTAAAAAAAAACTTCTAATCATGTTTTACTGTAAGTATCTTTTTTTAGTAAATGTTACTAAAAGAAAAACAAATTATAAAAATTATACTATTTCATTATACACTCATTCTAGTTTGTTATTCAATGTCCATGGAAAAAATTTCCAATATGTAAAATTTCAAATATAGGATTTCTTATAATTTTCCACAACACTTCATTTTAATAACTTTAGTTATTGCTTTCAGATTACTGACAAAGATATTTAATTGTAAGTGAGTCTATAGCACAGTTCTACTAAGATAAATTATTACTCTTGAAGTCATTGAGAATTTTAGTAGAAAACCCAAACAGCCCAAAGTGAGAGACGTAAAACTTACCCAAATACTTACTGATTACTACTTGTCCTTTATCCACAAAACCTCCTATTTCTTACCAAGTGTGAACTCCATTCCTTTCCTCCAAGGTTGCACACTTATCTAAAGCATGTTTTCTCCACTCACCCAAAATCATACCACCCTTTATTCCAGAGGCAAAAGTTATTAGTAACACTTAAAACCTTACCTTCACAAAAAAATATATTCCCCAAAATGGTAACATTCTAGGCTGAAAAGAGATAACAGTGGTCCCATAGTCTCAAGCACTTATTGACAAACTATGATTCATTATTCTTTCATTTATAGTGCTTAATCTTCAATCAGTAAAAAGAACACACATTGGCTAACTTCATTAATGCAAAATAAGTCACTCGGCACTAGAAGCTTTTGTAAAACCTATTTCTTAAATATCTATTTGATCTCTAAAGGTTAAAATTTTCCCTATAATAAGCCTAAACTTGCAAGCTTATTAGTGTTTTATAATGTACTTCAAAATTAGAAACTTTTTCTTCATTAAAAATAGTGTTTAGCAACACTGTAAAATGATTATGAATCAATAAAAAAATGTAAAAAAAATAGTGTTTAGAAATAATGCATAGATTACTGTGTAAAAGCTCACTGTACTCACAATGAAGTCCAAAACACTATAAAGGATTCACTGAGAAGATAAGATAAAGTGAAAGCTAGAGAATTTTATAGAATCTAGAACAATAATTTAGGGAGCTTCTGAGGTTGAATCAACCCAAGACTGTTCAAAAAAAGAAACTGTTCAAACTACAAAGAAATAGTCAGGAAATACTAGTAAAAAAAAAAAAAAGAGTCATTTAAAAAAGGAAAACAACACCAATCAGGGGATTTCCACCTCCAACCAACATGGATTAATGTGAAATGAATTTACACTCCTATCTTGAACAACTATAAAAGTGGACAAAACACACGAAACAACTTAGAGAAATTGGACAATAATCAAAGAAGGGACGAAATAAAGTGATCTCTATAATTATTCAAAATATTATCTCCCCCTAGAGAGAATTTCCAGGCTGTAGTGCAAGCAG